CGATCCGCAGCGCAGTACGGTGTCATTTATTTGAACCACGGTTGGATCGGCAATTTCATTTCCGGTGAAAAGTAAATCAAGGTTGAGTAATGAAAGTTCGCAGGCGTGTTTTCCCGCACAGCCGGCTCCGACGTCTTATCATTAAACTCTCGCTGTTTGATGCACCGATGATCAGCGCGCCCGCCTGGCCGAGAGCGCCTTGCTCCGACGCAGCACGCTGGACGCGAGTGCTCAGTGGATTCGCGATAGGGGCACACCTGGCGGTAAAAACAACTAATATAAGACTGTCTTATAGGTGGCGCCTCGGTCTACCTACTCGGAAGCTGCCGGCGGAGATGGCAAACGAAGCGTTTCAGATATGTATTGGCATATTAACGAGGGGCCAGACATATGGTCCCTGCACTATCATCACAAAGTAGCGTTGAATGTAACTTGAACCCGCTGGTTATGTATGGAACAAACCAATCTCAAATGTGGGGTTGGTTTTCGCATTTTTCGAGCATTCTTCGAGTCTGCCTTCTTTTTCTTGGTCCCACCTACCTTTTCACGGACGCTAATTTTTTCCTCGGCAAATGTTTTGGTGCTTGCAAGCTTGAAATGGGCCGATGATGTTTTTGGGTGACATGGGGTTTTCCGTCCTTTGAGCCTGAGTTGGATCTTGAATAGTGGCATTGAGAGGTAATGCCTTTTTGATGGACGCTTATTCTTGCACTTGTGAAAATTTAGAGGTTTACAAATTGGACATCGGCAGGTATTATTGGCAACATGGAGTTCCCCGTCATTTGGCTTTACTTTTGACCTTCAAGGTCAAATGATGCTGAAGAAGAAACGCCTTATTCGATGTTTTCGTGCCATAATTGATCAAATCACTCGTTTTTAGAGAAATTGAACTATGCAATGCAAAATGCAAAACGTTGTCGCGTTAAACCATATAATGCCGCTGTTGTAGGTTTCCGAAGGGCGCCCACAAGGCACAAGCTGCAAACTTAACGGTCGCAACACGCAAAGTGGGAAGCAAGCACGCTAGAGCGCTTCCAACCAGGTTCGTGGCTCGTCGGAAGATCCCGTAAAGGCAAATTGAAGTTAGTGTCCTTAAGAAATGCAAGAAGTGCTCTCACGTTGACAGCGTGGCCATTGCCTGTGAGTGAACGCAGGGACAATCTACGTTGCACATGACGACCAAAGTGGCGACAACACTCCGTGACAAAGCGTTGGGCGTTGCATGAGGACATGAGCGACGGACAGCGCGTGATTACAGCGAAGACATTTGGTGCTCTCCCTGCTGAGTAGAGGAACCCATGCGTCCCGCATGTGTGAACCATGAGGATGCGGCACAAGATGACTTTCTCCTTTCTTCTGTCGCGGTGAGAGGACTGCCCCTCGCGTGCGTTTGCCTTGATAGCCCTCAGTTTGCGGACATTTCCATGGCCGTCGGTGCCCGTCCGATCCCATGCCCTTTGCCAGTCTATCTTAAAGCGAGCTGACAGCAGCTGCCTGAAGTTAGAGAACGGCGCTCGGGTAGAGCGAGAGTGAGTTCCGACAGCTTCCTCCTTTGCTGCAGCATCTGCCCTCTTGTTCCCAGTAATGCCGGCGTGTCCGAGCACGCCACCGAAGACAACACACTTCCCAATCTGTTCGAGGGATGGAATAAGTCGTATAATCTGGTCACCTAAGAAGCACTCTGTTTTCGAGTAATTGATGGGTAGAATACATACTGCTCCAGAAGTCAGGCAGAATAGGATACCGCTCCGCTCGTTCCTCCTCCGCAGAGCCTAATGCCCCCTGACTGCAAAAAGTTCAGCGGTAAAAACCGAACAAAAAGGGTGCAATGTAAGGCATTTTGTCGAGCTGTCACGCGTCACAGCATAGCCAGTGCCTGCATCAGACTTTGAGACATCCGCGTACGTGCAAAAGTACGCATCGCACTTGGTGCGCATACCCTCAGAGTAGAAGAAACTCAGAGCGAAACACCTCAGCACTCGTCGATCCTCTGCCCGGGGCATGGAGCGAAAAAATGCAGATCGGCATTTTGAGGCCTCAGGACGGGCATGGTGGGCCTGTCGCACGAGTGACGTTCTTCCTTCTAATGCTACACCCTTGCAGACCCCTCTTGACCCTCATACACATAGGCTGTGACGAGCTAACATTACTCATTTCGAACAGATGGATTGGATGTCGGGAAAAGATGCAGCGAAAGGTAGGATGTGCCCCGAAAAGGTGCAATTTTTAAGGCATACTGTGCGCTGAGTATTTCGCGTCGGAATGACAGTGACGGTTTGTTCGCTATAACCAAGAGGCTGAAGATGGGACTGGATCTAACTGTCCCAGTGGCAGTGCGTATTGCACCATGGTGGACTGCATCAAGCATGCGTTTGACTGAAACAACGGCCGATTCGAAGGCCTGGCTGCCAAATTTTAGCTTTAATCGGAACGGCGTCCCGCAGAGAAGTGGTGCACACAGTGCTAGTTCTGGTTCAAATGTGGTCGAAACCTCAATTCCTGGCATTTTGGAAACCGTCCGCCTCTGTTATTTTCCATCGCCGTTTTGATCAGATCATGTAAAATCCCCTCCTCCGAAACTCATATGAGCCCCTTAGTATTTGCTTCGCATGTGTAGGAGGCCGAAACTTGTTCACCGGCATACCACGCCTCCGTTCTGCCATAAATTGACAAGATGTTTATCGCACATTCTTGGGCAGTACATATAAAAAGACCAAAATATCTTGATCTCGAAAGAATCGCTAGATTGCACCCTATCGATTAATTAGATTGAATGTTTTCCAGGTGGTATCTTAAGTGGAAATTATACGTTGTTTTTATAATTATACGTTTTAAATTATACGTTGGAACACCTGCATGATACCAGAACTTTTATCGACATTTAATAGGTATGGAGAATACGAGAAAATGGCTGTCACTGCCCACTTTAAACTGTGTTCTCAGCACTTTGTGGGTCAGTAACAATTTCCAACAATCATTATGGCGGCAGAAGAGGCCCAAAAAGTCATAAAGGTTTTAGTAGGCCTGCGTCCCGTCGGTCGGCCGGTCCGTCCACCGAGCTGCGCTGCGACTGGCCGGCCGCAATACAGCGCTCGCCTGGGCTGACCGAAGAAATAGGCTGAGAGTTGACGTCTCCTGGGAGGGTTAAGTGCTTGGTCAAGTTATACGCTCATTGTCGCTCATTGTTTTCGGCTCAGTGAGTGAGGCTGACGGTCGTTTCTCCGACTGTCGAGTGCGCAACATGTGAGGTACTAGTGAGGTGGTCTTCTTTGACACAGTAGTGCAAGGAGGCCTTCTGTTAAAGAGAGAGAAAAACGGCAAGCCGCGTTAAGCTGGCGGACGAATGTGAGGAAGAGTTGCATCACGCCTTATCTAATTTTGTTCGAGCCTCGCAAGACAAAGGGAACAATTATGGGCGTTGCTAGAGCAGGATGCTGGCTGAAAGGGTGCCGTTTAGTACGGGTGACATTGTGGCACTGAAACACGGGAATCAGGACACCCCCGGCGCAGCTGGTGACGGACGGGCGCCCGACAGCGCCCTATACCGAGCTGAGCGAAAGAACCAAGCGACGGACCTCAGAACATCTATCACAGGACCACATTCCTCGAAAGCTCGTGAATGTGGCTAAATGGAGGGCACGTGTTGGAGGAACAGCGGATCCGTCCCACGTCCGGCAAGAAACTATGGCATCGCCCGGCAGGCCAAAAACGATACGGAGATACCAAAAAAGATAATCAGCCCACCGTCCACCAGTCGCATGCGCGCCACCTGACAAAGCCTCGGCTAGGTGTGTGGTCAGTGACTTGACTGTGCATGGGTTCAAAGTGGTGCGGAACACAGCTCATGACGTATCAAGACAACATATTTCCCCGCGTACAGCAAAGCGCAGTCAGCGAAACACGACGTTTGCCCACCGGCCGCCACAATGACTGTCAGTGACATCAGTGCTTAAGTGACCGCAAGCACTCTTCGGCCGTACTTTTCGCCGTCTGGTGGAAGCGCAGACATCCTGGCAACGTTAAACCGACTGATAGACCAGCCTGGACCCAGCACACAGACCAAACGTGGTGTTCCCAAAGTCAAGTGCGCATTCGATGGTGCCACATCCCAATCAGTGTACAAGCAGGCAGTCAGTGAAAATGATGTAGGAATGGCGAAAGAAAGCCTGTTTTGTATGATGATACCTTTGAGACTCCGTCCATAACTTCATGCTCAGGTGCAAGTGATCCGCCATTAACTAGGCCTTGCAGACCTCTGTGCGTCAAATACATCCGCGATACTGCAGATATATCGCGAGAAGAGAGTACACGGATCGAAGCTGCGATCAGCCGACTGAAGCTGACGACCTCGACCCCTCCGGGTGGCATTCGTGTGGAACATCAACACAAGCTTTGTCTCCCGATGGTGGACGGAAGTCATCACTGCTCTAACGGCCACCAAAAGCAGTGCGTGCTGCAGTGTTCGGAGCAAGACCGAAGCAGATGAATGACCTGACCGCCTTATCAGCTCGCCCCTCACGCAAGGAGACACACAAATTTGGTCTCCCGACGACGTGCGCTTGGATTCGTATTGTCAGTGAGCTAGAATCGCTTTCGAACTAGGGTGGGAGTGAACAATTTAATCGCAAAAAGACCGTACGGAAGTGAAAAATTCAGTGAGCTAGAACTGAGCAAGAACCACTTTTGAATTACGGTGGGAGTGAAAAATTTAACCGCAAAAAGACCGCATGGGAGTGAAAAACTCAATTCACAGAAGCTGGAACTCATGAGTCCGTGAGAGATGCTCCAGCAAACAAAGACATACATTTCAAGCTGGCGTGGACGTAACAATGTAAAAACTGAACTAGAATCGCTTTTGAGCTAGGGTGGGTGTGAAAAATTCCATCGCAAAAAATCGTGCGGGGGTGAAAAATGGCAGCCACGCGCCGCCAAACGCATCACGACGGCATGACTTCAAATGCATCCCTTATTTTTGCAACGATCCATGGTGTGCAGCATCTGGCACCGAGGTTCGCGCAGTTCCTCCCGGCCCCATCTCGCTCTCACATGTCCGGCCACGCCACACACATTAGTCAGCAAGGACCAACGCGGGACTGGCGGAGCGCCATGGAGGAGGGGCGCCCCAAGGCGACCGGCTGCTGCTCCATCACTATGGCTCCACGGCGGACTTGGATCAGCGAGGTGAGCAGATCTCAGGCCAGCTCTTCAACCTGGTCACGCCGGCGATGGCTGCGTGCGAGTGGAAAACTGGCACATTTCCGCTTTGCTTGTATGCACACAACTCGTGATCAGTATCTGCCTCCGATCCTCCTCCACGTCGCTTCACCTGTCACGCTAAATATTGGTTATGCAAACGGGCGGGATCCACTAATTAATTGTTTTAGACCCCAGCTAGATGCCCGAGGCCTGTTCATCCCATGCTTGCAGCCGTTGGACCGATACCAAAAGCACAGCAGCTTCAAATACCACAGACGTCAAAACGACCACATTCGACACTGTTTCAGGTTGTTCGCTTTACACTGCGTCAGGTCAAGTTTGCTTCACAACGAAGTACTATGCTCCTTACACAAGGCAATACATACACATGGACACACGCTGAATTCGTGACACTTTCCACAGCGCGGCGTTGTACATCCCATCACAGGCCACCAACTCTGAGCAGGGGTGGCCGCCCCTCCGCCCAGGCCACCTGCTGTCCACGCCCATCACCGCCACTGGGGCCAGGCCGCGGCCCTCGCGTACGTCACCGGTCACCGAGCCGCTACTTTCAGCGTGCTCTTCCTTAGCGCGAGACAGTGCGGTCAGACGCTGCGTGACCGCCGGATAGTCACCGACCCCGGGTCACACCTGACGGGGTCGGTGACCTCTGTGTTCGGACGCAGAACGGTGCCTTCGAACTTGCAGCGACCTCTATGCCGAGGCTGGCCGGGGTCAGCGGAGCATGCAGCTTAGATGGCATGGTGACCTCCAGGTGACCTGGGGTCACCAGAGAAAGACGACGACGATCGCCACCAAGAGCGCAAAAATCACCACCCAGTACCCTGGAACAGGCACGGCCCACCAATCAACCCATCAGATGTCATCGGCGTACGGCAGTCCAAAGCTACACTTGCACAAAACATCAGACCTTTCCTACCAATCACAGCATACAAAAACTTGGTCAATGACAGTGAAATTGTTCTGGCATTCATTTCCATCACTCGAGGCATCCAGCGCAAGACACATTGTGGAGAAGCACAGACGGCACCGACAGCGCCGCTTTCCCGACGTCCGTTAGCGCAGAAAACGCGTCCAGGAGTCCGTTGCGCGCAATGCGCAAGAGTCCGTTTGGTGCCGTTTCGCAGCGACTGTCGCCGCGCCCACCACGTGCTCCCTTCACATGGACGACAGCGCCGATCGCGCTCGCATTCAGGGTTCAAGCTCACAGCTGACGGCCTAAACCAGGAAAACAGCCTAGAAGGTCGGCGGGTCCCACGGCGGGGGCGCTGCCGCGACGTGGCGACCGCTGCAGCCGGCGTTCATGGGGGCCACCGTTTCACTTCCGGAGCGGCTCAGCTCACACAACGGGGTCCATGTCGCTGCGACAGGCGCTGACGGCGCGTCAACAGACCCGGCAGCGGATTCCACGGACCCCCTCCCCCACCCCACACGCACCAGGGTCCACGTAGCTGAGGGCGGGCAGTAACGGCGCGTCAGCAGACCCGGCGGCGGGTCCCACAGACCCCCCCCCCCCCAATAACGAAGCACGTGACACCGATGGACCCCCACTCCTCAGACGCAATGCACAGTGAGCAGTTTGGATCGCAACACACCACGACATTCCGCGCAGACATCTGCACACAGCCTGCACACGACATGGCACCGAATACTGCGTCATCAAGAGAGCCACGCACGTCTGAGGACGGGGGCGCCACTACGTGTCACACTGCAGAGCCAGTGGGACTTACAGCAGGTGCGGGAGGCCTTGCGGTCGACCATGCGGACCTGCTGCGTCTGCTGCACCATGCGGCCGGCGCTCCGGTCCGCCATGTCCGAGATGTTATCGATCAGCGCTGCGGACAGCGGCACGCTCGTCCACAACACGCATCCGCCCGGCCTCGCCGGCTCACGACGAATGTGAGGATAACTATTCCGAATGATAGCATAAATATACAAGACAACACCGTCAAGCTCACGTAAGTCGGGATGCGAAGAAGTAATCCTCAGCCGGGTACGAATCGGCCACACGCACGCAACAATCATTCCATCGGCGTTAATGCTTCATTTCATCCCATCTGTGAAATTACGAGGATCCTTGCATGTGCGCTGAACCCCCCCATAGGCCATAGACCATGTCAGCCTAGAGTGCGACAAATCGACAACACAGTCCATCAGCCTCACGCTTCGAAAGACCAACCAGCAGGGACACTGGCGGGAGTCGGGCGGTGAGGGAACGGGTCGGGCCCGGCCGTCCTCTGCTGGCGACACCACATACCGCTTTGCTCCTCGATCTCGGCACCGATAGCGCCGGCCATGTCCCGCTGGCGCGAGATGACCGACGCCAGCACCTCCAGACCCTCGTCCTGCTCTGTGGAAGCCACTGACGCAATTAGATTCGCGAAGTGCTCACAGCCTCCCCACAGTCCCCAACATTGCCAAGCTGAAGAGCACCTCTCTGGTCTTCCATTCCATCTCCTGGTTCTCCATCAACTATGCCCAGGGATGGAACTTTGTATCTTTCAGGAGAGGTGGGGGGAGGGGATATGCCAACTCAATATTTATCTCCACTCCCTAACTCCCCCCCCCCCCCCCCTTATGACAGGCCAGTCTGCCCCAAGTCTACCAAAGTCAGACAGCTAAACTTAAACAAACTTACATTGAACACCATATTATTCTTGCACACCACACATGGCCATGCATTTCCAGAAAGGTGGTTACATCCTCTTGTCTTGTTTTGTTTTGGAAGCTTCAACCCATCCTGGCAACCTACCCCTGACGAGCTGGCGCTGCTGCTGCCGGAGGTCACCGGTGGGTGGCACCACAGACGGTGGCACATCGTCACCACCCCAGCCTGTGGTGCCCAGGTCAGCCAGGCCACCTGGTGCCCCTGGCCGCGCCATCACCGCAGGGCAACTGCTCAATGTCCCGATGTGCTGGGTACCTAGAATGAAAATGGCATGGGATGTCATGGCTGACCAGATTACACAGCATGGGGGGCTAAGGCAAAAGTGATGAGAGTTGCATGATGTGAACCACCCAAAGAAATGACTTGAATGGGTTGACACAAACTGGAGCATAAATTTGAATGGCTGTGAGGAGGCAGTTAGTAAGCATGGAATGAAGTTGGTGTGGGCACCAGTTTGGTATAAGTTCAAATATTTCATTTTATTAGGCTTTTAAAATGGAGTTAACATAAAGCACCTGTTGTGCCTCGGGGATTTAGCATGGTTTGAAAATCACTATGAATAGCCTGTTCAGTATCTTTGGAACCTTTGATTAGTACCTATCATTGAGCAACATTGCCAAACCTTCCACCATTCTTTGTGTTTAAGAGAATGCAAGGCAAGGCAGCCTTCTACCCTTATTTGGCCTGTCATTCTGATCTGGGGAGTTGATAATCACACAATATAATACTTGATGAGGATGGTGAAGTCATTGGTGTCATTAATGACTAAGTCATCAGATGATTATACTGTGCATATATGATGCTACATTTTCATATTGTGTCCTTGCTGCTGCTCTTAATTTTTTAAAAAACAAGCTTTACAGGAGCAAAAAAGAGCAGCTTAAATGGTAACTGGTCTTGGAAATTTGCCTTTCATTTCATATGATTTTGCCACAATCCTGACGGCCAAGAAAAGCCTCAATGGACTTTGTTCAAGGTGAATGGAAGAAATATATGTGCAACCTAAGACTTCAAGTATTATATTTTTACTTAATCTACACAAACTATTCAGTGATAGAAATAAAAACCTACAGGTGAAATTGATACAGGTATTTACTTATGATGCTTTTCAGTCAACATCCACATTGGTATCTGATGCTGCAATATTTAATAGTTCAACTGCCATTTTAAGACATGAAACACCATAATCATAGAACAGATACACTTTTGGGATGATATCACCTCACCTCCAAAATACCGTTCACACACGATGGCCGAACCTGGTCATACGGGCACTCTCCAATAAGTCATCGCCTACTTTCAAGGATCAAAAGCAACAGGTTCTCGTCCCTATCATGTTATTCTGCAGAAAACTGGACGATAAGCTAGCTAAATGATATTGCTTCGAACAATCGTCGTTTTTCTACCCTACATCCACCCAAATACCGTCATCACCCCACATAGCACCATCTGTCCCGAACCTGCGTTCCCTCACCCCCAGTGTTGATACAAGTGCCGCGATGGATGCGTGTTGGAAGCGTTATGGAAGCGTGTTTTTTTCCTTATTTACATGATGTTGATGACGTAACGGGGATGTTAAGGAATTGCTGCGTTTTCAAAAAGGCATCATATAAAAATATTATCTTATGATAAAAGTGCCAAAAAACCGATGTGATGTTGACGACTTCACTTGGTTTCAAAACAACTGCTGCGTTTTCAAAAATGAACTGCTGACGGAGATATAGATTCATGGAGCCATGTCAACGAATGATCATTCACGTGCTGCTCAGACTATTCCTGATGTCCGTGAAAGCTTTGGTTGGCGTCACAGATTTGCAAAATGCATGCCAAACGCCAAACACGCGTATAGTGAGGTGAGATGCGCTCTCATAAGCATAATTGTACGCTGAAGGAAAAGTCTGAATCGGACGGGGCCGATCTAGCAATATCAGACGGGATCGAACTGCGGCTGGAAAAAAGGGGAGGCTGGCACAAGAGCAGCTGTGCTAACACGCCAATTTGTGCCAAAATGACAAAATGCCAAATGAGTGAAATATCTCGGTATGGAACCTTCAACGTGGGATTTAGGGGTTAAATTCCTGTCTGGCGCTATGGACTATGAACGTCCAGGTGCGTACTCTCTCTGAAGTGGGACTGGGCTGGCTGGTTCGCTTCAGTTTGGTTCGGCTCGAATGGGACCGGAAAGGAAGAAAACAAAGAATTTAAGGCCGGAACGGCTCTGAGCAGACTAAACCGGACCTGATCTGAACGGGCTGCACCAGTTTGGAGTGAACTGGAAGGGAACGCAGGATGCTGGACATGATGAAAAAGATAAAGGATGGACTAGAGCGGAACAGATGATATATATGACCGGGATGCGTTGAAATGGGCGTAAGCAAACTGGGCCGGACCACACCAGGATTGACTCCGGCAGACTGGACCTAACTGGACTGCGCTGGGATCTTACTAAAATTGAAACATCTGACAAAAGACCAGACCGAACCGGAATGAGAAATGGGCTGGGAGCAGGGAACAAACGTACCCGACTGGGATTAGACTGCATTGGACTGAATTGGGCCGCGCTACAACCTAACGGGCGTTAGATGAATATAAAGGACTGCAAGATCCGGCATAGGATTAAAACGAGCCAGCAAAAACTAGAACGATATCGAGATGACAGGAGAGGACTGCACAGGCATACCTAGCTTCTGTTTTCTATTTAGTTCTGTCTAGTCGGAACCCCTTGGGAAGGGATCGTAAGGGTGCGGCAGTTACTGGATCGGCTCGGAGTGGACCAGGCTGCGATTGAGGGGACTGGACTCAGGCAGGTCTGACTGGACAGAGAAGAATCAGAAATTAAGTTATTTACCTCCAGTTGACGATTCAGGTGTATCACGGAGCGGGTCGTAACGGGAGAGACATGATGACCGATAGACGGATCATATAATACCAGACCATCAGAATGGCAAACCATGCAAACGAATCTAGGGACGAGGAGGCAAGAGGGAGCCGGCACTGAACTGAACTGAACTGAATGGGATAGAGTCTAGCAACGGAAATGAACGGATAGAGTTAGATCAATTTGGTCGGACTAGACGGATTGTACAGGAAAGGGGACATTGATATCAAATGGGTTGGACCGCATTTGACTAACCTGGACTGGAGAAGATAGCAAAGAACCGAAAAAAATCCGTTACGCATCAGCCGTGGATATTTGCTTGGCGGCGAGGGTGACACCGCGCTGTGGTCAAAGAATTAAAATCATGATTTGCACAAACGATAGCACTTTGCGCAATACAGAAAAATTTGCGCAATCAAGACAGGTTGGACATATTTTGCGTGGAAAGCGTCAGTTCAGTGCTTCCCCTCGCGTTTGTATCGTGCAACACGGTCCAAGATAATAAGTCCCATCACTATCACAAACAGGTCTTTTTTAAGATCAAGGGCACCGCACGTTGTGGAAGTGCCGTTTTAATCCCGGACAGATCCCATCGCACTACGTCTTTTGGGGTCGGATATCGTATAACGGCGGAGAACGGCTGAATATCGTGCAGCTATGTTTGCCACGCACGCAATCATTGTGTGATTCCGCGATGGAAAGCTTCGGGTATGCAGGGCGGGACATGTTACGGGCGTGGAACGTCCCTAATTTTCGATGCTCCGGCGTACCTAAGTTGCGTTCGCATTTCTCCGGTACTTGTGTACATTAACACACGCTCATGAGAGGGGCACTTTGATCATCGAAGGTTTTTTCCAGAAACATTTCCGGACGATTGGGTGAAGTCGCGCTAAACTTTGGAGAGCTGTAGGCAATTGAATAGCGCATCTTTTGCTACAAAATTTTTGTACCTCGTAAGGTTGCTCACCTATGGCAGGTGTGAAGGACGGACCGGGGTCATCTTGTTTTTTGATGATAAGCCTACTGTATGAGGCAGCTTCTGGTACTCATTTCGAGTTCATAACTAACGAGTTCCGTAACAGACATGTTCCATGAGCTTCTTAAAGGTTAAATTAGTTCACTGACCTAAAATGACTCAGATCGACATTTTGTATTTAGCAGCATACCGCCCAGCGCAATCCCTGACGTTTATTTAAGTGGTAACGTAAAACCAATCTACTTGTTTTTGGACATCTTGATCTGTTAATGGACAAAACAGGTCACTGACCTTAAACAAAACCAATGGTCTTTTGCTTAAAACAAGCATCTAAGTAAACGGCAGCTGCATGAGGTCTGGGAACACTTGGATCCCAACCTGAAGCGTGACATTGTTTGACCTATTTGACCCCAAGGTCATGACCTGTGAACTTCAAAATTTTAACACAAGTGAGTCACATAGAGGCCAACCCACACTGTAAATGCATTGTCTCTAGCTCTTTGATATTCTAGTCCCTTACATTTACAGGTCTCTTAAACGCGGTATTTGCTCCCCATTTCACCAGCACAGTGCAACAACCTTTGGAGCCAAATAGTTCAGTAAATATATTTGTCCTGTACTAGAGACACAAAATAACCTGGACTTAAAGATTATTCCGATGTTTCAAAATTTGACAGCGAAATTTTAGGCTACATCTTAATTTCAGAGAACTGATGGAACTGAGCATTGGGACCAGGCTCCCATATTGTGGAGGCCCCCAGCTCGATATATTGCGGGGCACTGCCCAACGTTGCGGGGGCCCACTCCAACACTGGAAGCCCGGCTCAATACTTTTTGGTGGGCAGGGCCCCACAAAGAGATTCAAAGTTCCAGCCCTGATTGAAAGTCCTTTCGAGACACACAAACACAAACAGAAAGACGTCTGGCAGTCAGGCGGCGAGTCGACCATCGCCCCGAACATCACGAGTTAGAGAGAGAGAGAGCATTACATCAGGGAAAAGCTTGCCACCAGGCGGTCTGGCTGAGCATTGAAGCCCGTCCACTCGGCCGGCGTTTCTGTGTTGTGGACTTCCGACAGTCATGCCGCCTTATACTGCTGACTGAACCTGGCGGCGGTGGACTGAATCTGTGACTCTTCAGCGGAAGTCTTTGTCGGGAGCTGAGACGCGCTCAGATTTGAAGGCCTCTTGCAGCGCAGCAGATGCATAGGCCTGGTGGGTGAGTCGCAAAAGAGATACCTCATATAATCGCCGTTCTGCTTGCAGTGTGATCTAAAAAACCAAGACGTACTAGAAGCTAAGAGGCCTACTTGGATACAGCCAAAGAACATCCGACCAGAAGCATGATGAGCGTGAAAAACCTCTTCAAGCATGCACTGCTGGTGCTTACGCTCCTGCGCGAAGGGCAAGAACAACTTCCTCCTTCAGTAAGCACTGCCTGAAGGAAATGCTACCGCATTTCTTCGTGGCAGGTCACAACAATTATGCACGTTAATGAGCTAACATGTGAGACAGATGAAGCACCTTCCCCAGCGAGCCGGGGAGGACCCACACGCGGCGCGCACGCCTGGTGTGCAAGGGGGAGCTAGGTGTACGTAGGTGATGATGACTATAATGAGCATCAGAGGAATGTGACGGGTGCTGGTTGGTAGCACTGCCCTCAAGTTCGGCTTTAGATGTCGTGACACTGCACGCCAAAGTGTGGTGTGATATGATGATTTGATATGATTGATTAGTTTGACATTTGACCTCTAATTTGGTGTTTAAGTCTAATATTTATTGTAGACCTCAGTAGCCCAAAAATAAGTCCAGAAATGGACGCGTCACCCACGATAACCCCCATTTAAGAGAGATAACACGACCATCCATGTCATATCGATCAGAATAAGCATTGGTTAAAATTCGAGAATGGCGGTGGTCGTCATCTTGAGTTCTGAGAAATACTCTATGTTACACAATGGCAACTAAGCTAGCCTGGGTTCTTATCATATCGAGCATATTTACGAGGAAGTTCCTGCAGTCAACATTGTACGGTCAACATTTTTGCAACTTAACTACATATCATCCAGACACCTCGATGAGGAGGATGCTCTGGTCGACCTCGTTGAAAGCCATTCAAGGTTGATCATCGGCACTGACGATGATAAGACTATCATTACTGGTGACCAGATACGACGGCGGCGAACATGGCACCCTCAGTTGAGCGGCGAGGGCCTATAGGCATACTGTGATGGATGCAGAAGCCTGTTGCATTCAAATAGTCCGTTAGCTCCTGTGTTTGTTCCCTTTCCTATGACCTCAGACAGCACACTAGCGGTACAGGCCTGGTCTCCTGGCATTTGAATTGGCACAGCGCAGGCGTGGCGCGTCCCGGGTGTCTGGAGCTGTCTGATTGTGAGGCAAGACACCATTACTTTACCGTCGCGGTTGCGGGATAGGTTCAAGAGGTTTAAAAAAGCGCCAACTGGCGACTGAAAAACACTCGTGCGCTGTCGGAAGTGCGACCTCCGCCATGCCCAACATGCGCGATGTACTCAAACGGTGAACACGCCCGTGACAGCTCTAGCAAACGTCACGGATCGGAACAGTGAGCCAGCGGCAGGCAGGT